AAAAAAAAAAAAAAAAAAAAACCCTCACAGCTACACATAGATCAGTGTTTGATTGACGAACAGCCACTATAGCCTAGCCAAGCTGACACGTAAAACTAACCATCATAGGGGGACAAATGATGTAAACACATCAACAAATAAAACAGGAACAAGTTGTGTTAAGGTCTATGGAAAAAACACAGAAGGGGCAGAGAGAAAGAAAGCAAGAAGGAGAGTCCCAGTTTGGTAGGGCTTGTGGGAAGTGGGGAGCAGTTCTCTTTAGCTAGGATATTGGGGAAAGATGTATCTGAAGGAGTGATATTTGAGCTTAGATTAAAAGATGGAAAGGAGCAAGCCATGCAAAGAGCTAGGATGTTCCAAGCAGAGAGGGAACATCAAGTGCAAATGTTAGGAGGAATAGAAGGAGGCTGGTGGGCAGGGTCCAGTGAGCAAGAGGAGGGCAGGCAGGAGAGGGGGTAGGGAGGTGGGCAGGCCCAGACCATGCAGGGCCCTGGAGACTATCCTGATCCAACAAAGGAAGCCTTCGGTCACTTCAGTGTCCATGTGGAGAATGGACCTCAGAATGAATGAGGGAGGCAGTAAGGAGGGCCTCTACCTCCAGGACTTCTCCCTGTGGACTGCGCATAGACATCTCCAACTCAGAAAGTCTGAACCAAACTTTCCATAGTTCCCCCAAGTCCGGGCATCCTCCTACTCAGTGAAAGGCAACCATCACACTTCCCTGCCCTGCTCCCGGATGCCCAAAATCCTCTTGGTCTCCAAGTCCAGAACCTGGGACTTATCCTTGATGTTTGTCTTTCCCTCACCCCTTCTGTATTCTGGGAAGATGGGTTTTTTCCCCCAAATGAATCTGTAAAACTTCTGTGATCACAACGAAAATTCTGGCAGTATTATTTTCTGGAACATGACAAAGTGATTCAAAATTATTTATCTGGAAGACTACAAAACAAGAACAGCCAGGAAATTTCTAAAAAGAAAGAAGGAGGAGGAGAAGAAAGAAGCAGGAGGGAAAGGAGGAGGAGAAGAAGAAGAGGAAGAAAAGAAGAAGAACCAAGAAAGGGTTCTAGTGCTACCAAATATTCAAACATATCATGAAGCTGTTTAAAACAATATGGTTGTGGACACTGAAAAAGATGTGAATAAAGTGGAAGGAAAATAAATAGAAGTGCACATGGGGATTGAGACTGTGAGAAAGGCAGCATCTCACATCAGTGAGGGATGTTCAATACCTGGTGTTGGGAAAACTGGCTAGTTAAACAAAACAACTGGGTCCTCTACCTCTCTCTTGACATTAAGATACATTTAGATGATTCAAAGAGTAAGACAGAAAAAATAACACATGAAAGCACTATCAGAAAACAAGGTGGGCCGGGTGTGGTGGGTCATGCCTG